GTCTGCCTGCAGGTGCGACGCTCTTTAAGTTCACTGCCTGCGGTGCGTCTCCTGCATCATTCCTCGCACCTTTTCTCCTACGCGTTGACGGTGGCGCATCTGCCGCCGCTTCTGCCGCTCAGGCCAGGCCTCTGGCTTGGAACGGGAAGACAGTGCGTAAGTGATTGTTAACGCTTATTCGTGCCGTCACTGTTCACGCTATTTCTACTTGTGCTCTTTGAATGAAGTTCATTGTCGCTTGTGCTCCTTCTTCAGTAATCGTAGTAGAAGGTTAACGGAGCTGCAGTGGTCACGTCATCACGCCTTGAGAGTTGTATTGCTGTGCATGACCATGTATTATCACTAACTTAGTAGGTACTTAGCATCAACTTGAACATAGTGACACGACACGCAACTGTTGGGTGCTACAGTAGTGACTGGGTGCTTTTATCCATATCCACTGACTCCCCGTCAGCGTGTTCCCTCATAATCCCCTTTTAGTGAAATACGTTGTCAAGTTGCGGCCTACCAAGCGCAATGGAAAGGTCGTTGGCGACAAAGGTGCATCGGGGTCATTAGTCCTGAAGCTGGTGAGGTGCGAATTCGCGTCCCACTCGTCCGACTCAGAAATTTCTCCGAACCCTTATTCACTCTTCCTAGTAGTGAGTCACAGTGCGCCCTCAGGGCCACTGTCGCTGCCATTTGGGAGAGGGGTCCTGAAGTGGGTGAGCTGCGAACCGTCCTACTTACCCACGGCTACTGTACTCCTGTAGACATTTGATAGAATCACAAATGACTCAGCAATCTAGCCTGGCGCCACCAAATATATTCATCACCTAACCATGTCCTTCGCTGCAGTTGTTACAAGGGCCCAGTTTTTCTCTTGAACGAATGCATGAGGCCGAAAGGAAGCAGACTGTAGTGCTCCTGCTCACTCCCTCACTCACTCACTCCCCTCTCCTCCTCTCCCCCTCCCCCTCCCCCCCCACCTTCCCCCCCACACCTCTTTTCTGATATTTCCCTCATATCCGCTGTTTAGGTACTCTTCAACGTCCTTCGCTGAGGTCTCCCGGTTTCGGATCCTGAACGTTAAATCTGGGTCAGAGCCCCTCATTGGTACGGCGCGCACCTGCCTGACCGCCACCCCTGCTGCGTTTACATCTCCCTTTGTGAACGCCACGAGCGACAAGGGTGCACGGCGCAAGCGCTACAGCTTCTTCTACGACTCGTCGGCTGGAGGAATGCCGTCTGAGGCGAACGGGCGAACCGATATTGAGCACTTTCTTGGGCTGGACGCTGGGGACAGATACGTGGTTGTGGGGCATCCGGATAACATGTTGGCACTGTGTGGGAAGTCGGTCAGAAAAGTGAATGTGAAGTCATAGGTGCGTCAGTTGGTACGGCGGGCTCCTGCTCGGCCGCCACCCCCGCTGCATTTGCAGCTCGCTTTGTGAACACCATGAGTGACAAGGGCGCCCGGCGCAAGCGCTACTGCTGCTGCTACTCGTCGTCGAGGGGCATGCTGTCTCAGGCGAACGGCCGCACCAAGATGAGCACTTCCTTCGTTGGTATGACGCTGGGGACTGAGGCAGCGTTGTGGGCGTTCCGAGTAACCTGTTTGCCCATTGTGGGAAGTCGATAAGAACAATTAATGTGAGAGAGGTAGCCGCTGTGTATGTCGCTTGGTGGGAGGTGTCAAACATATCTTTGTATGTTGTTATAGACTCTACAGGGTTGTGCCTTAAGGAGTACAACCCACTAGGTTATATTCCCTTGTATGTCATCGTTGTTGGAAATATCTCGAGGACTTGAGCGTTTCTGAAGTCTAACACTACACTCGAGGAAAGTCGTAACGGGTATGCGAGTCAACGGAGGTTACACGAGATGGACGAAAGAACACGAAAGGACGAAAAGGACTCGAAGGGTCGCAACCGGAGTTGCGACTGACTGTTACAACTGCAAGGGTAGTAACCAAACCGACAATCGAGTCGCTATGCGACTCGATAACCGTTCCTTCAACTGTATTCTACAACTGCTTTACTTTCCTATCTTCTATATATTGCTGTATGCTTGTTTTTTATTATTAATCACTTGCCCTCACACACTAGTGCAAGGGTTCAACCACTCAACACTTCCGCTGCACTACTCAAGCATTCCATACAAGTGGGACTTAGTCTCTGAAAGGATCCTAGGGCCTTTCTCAGCCCAACATGGTATGAGAGCTGGTCAGAGACCAAACTCCCAGCAACTACGCTCTATCTACAGTCAAGCACATCAAGAGATTCATCGGTTACAAGTCATGGACAACAAGGGCAATAAGTTTTCTACGGGCTCACCCAGCACTCAAGACACTCAACCCGGCAACTGTGGACTGCACACTTCAGGATTACAAACTGAGACCAGCGCTGCTCAAGAAACAACAGGGAGGGTACGAGAAATGGTGACCCCTTCACCTTCTTCAGGCGTAGACCCGAACCTTATGGAAAGGTTCTTCAGCTTCATGTCGCACTTTGACCAGCAGCAACAGACAAGGACACCTGAGAGCAATGGGGGAACCATGGGATTAGCACCAATGAGCCTTGACAACTCATCATTCGGGCGGCACAATCAGGCGCCTACCTTTGCGCCTTATCACTCTTCACCGGGGACGTTCGACTTCTTGTCGCCCCGTGCCCAACCAACAGTAGCTGCATCACAACAGACACCAAACGAGATACTGAGTCTCCAGGCGCAGTTTTCATATGTGATCAAACTGCAGACATCCTCACCGTTCAACGGGCACGACTTCTTTACCTGGAGTTTTGAGTTCGAGCTGCTGATGGAGGCTGCGCACCTCTTGGGATACTTCAACGGGTCCCTGCCGTTTCCAAGCAATGGCACTGCTAAGGAGCAGGAAATCTTCACTTATCAGTCGCTGTTGGCATACACAGTTCTCCTGCGAAATCTGTCTCCACAAGAGCAACAGAGCATCAGAACGTATCGGAGTTACGGAAACTCCGCGGAGCTCGCCTGGCATCATCTGAAGTGTCTCTATCAAGCAAATGACAGCGTGACACAAAGCAAACTCATGCAGCAGTTAACCACAATACAAATGAAGACCGGGGAAAAGGCGATGCAGTTTATGAGTCGCTGCCAGACACTCCGCGACCGCCTGCTCCGGTGCGGAGGGGCAATGACTGAAGAAAGCTTCGTGACACTTGTCCTCGCCGGGCTCGGGCCAGAATGGAGAACCACGCGCTCACTCCTTCGCGCCCACGGACGAATCTCCGAGATGCACCTCTGCGCCGAGCTCCATGCTGAACAACAGGAGATGGACCTGTTTGAAGAAAGACAACCAAGAAACAAGCAGCAACCGTTAGTCTTCTATACTCAACGAAAAAACGACCACAACTATAACCAACGTGATAAGCAGAATCGATACGACGCCAGAGGACTCACCATCGTGCCACCGTTCTGCCGCAATTGTCAGACATCCGGACGCTCCAAGGTTAACTGCACGCGCCCTTGAGTTTATCGTCCAGCAGATCCGCAAGTCGCCTCCACTCAAGAAAATCCGCCAAGCCGCTCCTCTACACCTGCACGAGACACACCAAACATCATCAGCTGCATGGTACGGATCGACAGCTGCAGACCCGAGTCACCACCCACTTACGCTCCTGACGAAGAAGAACTACCGCCGCCACGCTCACAAGGTCTCCAGGTCAATCCGACGTACGCTGCAGTCGCCAACGCCGAACCCACCGGGCGAAACACATGGTTCTTGGACAGCTGCTGCGGTCAACATATGTGTTCTTCCGGGCGCTTCGTGCAATGAGAGCGACGTCTCAACCGTGATGTCATCATCACCGTCGCCAACAACGAGAACCTGAAAACAAACAGACAAGGCGTCGTTCAACTTCAGTCAATGGAGATAAACGTCATATTACAACACAACAAACTCCTCATCGTTGACAACTTGGGATACAATCTACTGAGCATCAGCCAGTTAATGGCGAAGGGGATTCACCTGGAATGCGACTCGGACGACAACGAGTTTCGCCTTTACCACGGGAAGGGCGGCCTTTTCATCGGCCGTGCTCTCCTCAAGTCGGGCGTCTTCGTGCTGGATTTCGTCCCCGACCGCGGTACTGCCGACAGCGATGGCATCGTGTCGTTTGCCGTCTGCAAGCATCCGCTGGATCTTGACCCCGAATTCACTCCAGACGGCTTCTGGTACTCCAACACCTTCCCTGCAGTAGAAAGAACTCGAGCATTAGCAGTCATCCGACAAGAACGACAAGTACCACCAAGCGTCCCTCATATGACATCACCTGTAGTAGCAGCAGCAGGACCCAGCCGTACGCCATCACAAGCAATTCGAGGACCACCATCCGAAGCAGATCAACTCATGCCCATCACCCAAGGATTCTGCCGCAGTCCTGCAACAGTCGTCGCATTCTTCTCCAACGCTGACATGTAACAGCGCTCACCCGGCCATCGCGCTCCCGACGACACATGGCATCAACGCCTCGGGCATCCTGCAAACAGCATAGTGCTCGAAACCATACAAGCCGGAGTGTTAGAAAAGAACGCTCTTCTCACAACGAGCGGCCAGGAACTTCGACGATCCCGCGCACAATGCTTCACGTGCCCCGAAGCCGATCTTCCCCACCAACCTTTTTCGTCGCACCACAATCCAAGCGCACCTGCATACGCACCGATGGAAAAAGTCTACAGCGACATATTAAATATGCCTCGAGACAACAGAGAAGTAGAGTACAACTATGTTATAACGTTCATCGACGCAGCAACACGATACATCTGGCACTACAACCTCAAGACACGCGATCAAGCGTTCGAAGCCTTCACGGCGTGGCTGCCCATCGCTGAACGAGAATCGGGATCGCAACTCAAGAACTTCCAGTCAGACGGAGCACTGGAGTACCAGTCACAACGATTCAGGAACTACTAGGCAGAAAGAGGCATCAGACGCCTGGTGTCCCTGCCCTACGCTCACCAGCAGCAGGGGGTCGCAGAGAGGATGAACCGAACTCTGCAGACAACGATGCGGAAGCTGCTCCTGGGGATGAGACTGCCCAACACCCTTTGGCCCGACGCGATGACGCATGCAGTCCACCTGCACAATTTGCTGTCCTCGACATCACTTCCCAACAACGCATCACCGCACCTGCTGTGGACAGGAAAACAGGGCAGCACAAAATTACTTCGAGTCTTCGGCTGCATGGTGCAGTACAGACCCCACACAGCCCGAGCAGGACGCTTCACTCAACGAGCACGGTGGGGACTACACCTCGGCATCGCAAAACATTTCCAAGCATGGAAACTTCTCGACACTCAGGACAAAACCACCGTGGCCTCACGTGATGTGATTTTCTACGAGCGACTGTCGCTGCAACATTACCTGGACAACATCGCCACCAAAGACGACCCCACCGACGGCTTCGAGGGCCATCGGTCCTTCGCTGACCGTGCTGCCGAAGCTGACGCAGCAGAAGAAAACGTACCTGGAGCCTCGGAAGCTGCCGGACCACTCCCTTACTACTTCGTGCCCGTTCCACTCGACGACGACAATCCTCTCGATAGTAACAACCTCGACACCGATTACCACTTTGCTGACCAGGGTTACGCTACACCTCAACCGGTCGACACAAATGTCTTTGAACGCATCGGACCAAATTTTCTTACCTGATCCCGAAGACGGTGACGAAGCAGCTTATCCCGAGCATACCAATTCCCCTCGACACACACCCACAGGCCTGCAGATACTTGGACTATGGGTCGCTGTCCAGAGCCTGCCACCGCCATCACCACGCGAGCCATCGACTCTGTCGCAGGCTCTTGGGGGGGGGAACACAAGGCAAAATGGAAGGAAGCAATGGAAAAGGAACTGAAGGCCCTGCAAGACCGAAATACGTGGAAGCTGGTATCTGCGACAAAAACCAACGGGAAAAATGTGCTCTCGGGGAAATGGGTGTACCGCATCAAGACCAATGCGGATGGCTCCATCGACCGCTTCAAAGCTCGCTGGGTCGTACGAGGATTCGACCAGCGATATGGAACTGACTACACGGAAACATTCGCCCTGGTTTCCTGACACACTTCCCTGCGCATTTTGCTCGCCGTCGTGGCCACGAAAAAGATACCAGTGCGCCAGATCGATGTCGCCAACGACTTCCTGTATGCATCTGTGGACGCCGAAATCTTCGTCGAACAGCCCCACGGATTCATCGACGATCCCACAAAGGTGTGCCGGCTGATGAAATCCCTCTACAGAATTAAACAAGCCCCGCGGCTCTAGCAGCAGCACCTCCACGACCGCCTCGTCAGGATCGGTTTTCTGCAGCTGCCGCACGATCAAGGCATGTACCGACTACAGAAGGGGGGGATTTCGTCCTACTCATCGTCTACGTCGATGATCTACTCTATGTCGGCTGCGCTACTGACGTCACCACCTGGTTTGAAGGGGAGCTGAGGAGGGATTTAACACTCACGGTGTCAGACACTGTGAGCCAATACCTGGGTCTAAACATCGTCGAAGACGACTCAGCGCTCTACCTACACGCCAGAAAATACGCAGGCGTTGTCGCGAAGAAATTCGACCTAACGCCAGTCTCAGTCGCAACTCCCTACCGCTACGGGAACAAGAGCGACACCTCCGCAAAACTCCCCGCGAAGCAAATCCAGGAATATCAACAGAAGCTCTGTCTACTGTTCGCAGCAGTAACCTGTCGACCGGACCTGTCCTACAGCGCAAGCCAACTGGCGACACACCTGAAGCAGCCGAAGCAAGAGAATCTCGAGGAACTAAATCGG